CATTGTCTATTAGGCCTGTCACAATAATCAATATATGGACTTATCACACAACACATGGACATGACCTCAATAAGTTTTGATTATGCAATAGACAGTTGGAGTCAGAATAATTAGCCCCCGTTTATTTTTTCTCTCAACTTCTGTTTAACGGAGGGAAGATTGTGTCAACACATTTCTAAACATAATAGTTTTAATAACTCATTTTTAATAACTGATTTATTTTATCTTTGCCATGATGACAGTAAATAATATTTTACTAGATATTTTTCAAGACACTTCTATACAGCTTAAAGTGACATTTAAAGGCTTAACTAGGTTAATTAGGTTAACTAGGCAGGTTATGGTAATTAGGCAAATTAATTTATAATGATGGTTTGTTCTGTAGACAGTCAAAAAAAAATTGTTTAAAGGGGCTAATAATTTTGGCCTTTTAAAAAATTAAAAACTGCTTTTATTTTAGCCGAAATAATACAAATAAGACTTTCTCTAGAAGAAAAAATATCCGTCATACTGTGAAAATTTCCTTGCTCTGTTAAACATCATTGGGGAACTATTTAAAAAAAGAAAAAAAATCATAGGGGGGCTAATAATTCTGACTTAAACTGTATATTGCCCATACATAAAAAAACAATTCTAGCAACGTTTAAGCTGACTGTGTAACATCTCTATCTTTATTGGAAGTGTCAGTGTCAGTATGGTTAAAAAACACGATAGTTTTTACTATAAATTGCTATATTGTATTTTCATGTGGGTGTCTGACAACTGAAAATAGATCTGGTAGCAGATATCGCAGCCTCTTAGTTTTTACCTTGCACTTTTTTTGTTAACATTATTATTATTTATTTAGGATATGTGTTTACACATGCTGCTTATAAACTCTCATAATTACATTAATGACTATAATTAAATTAAATATTCTAAAGAATAAAATATTGTGTGTTCTCTGGAAGTGTACTTGCATTGTGCTGATATTATATTGTCATTCTGTCATTATATAATGAGTGGCATAAATGGTGTTAAAATGACAATAATTTTGTTTATTGCAACAGATTTTGGTGCAAAATATTGTACAACAAAAAAATAGATATCACAGGCCTATCATCTATATGAGAAGTAATTTTTAAAAATCATTTAGTTATTCATTGTCTATAAAACAGGTAGGAGGTTAGTGGAAAATATAATAATGCCAAAAATGTGAAGAATTTATATAAAATGTTATTTTCTCCCTCTTTTTTTTTGTAAAACATCCCATAATATATAAATATATAGATTTCTAATGCCCCAGTAAAAGTGAAGGGGACACTATATTGTCAGTGGGCGCCGTCTTTCGGATGAGACGTTAAACCTAGGTCCTGACTCTCTGTGGTCATTAAAAATCCCATGACACTTCTCGTAAAGAGTATGGCTGTAACCCCGGTGTCCTGGCCAAAGTCCCTCAGTCGGCCCTTACAATCATGGCCTTCCAATCATCCCCTTCCACTGAATTGGCTCTATCACGGTCTCTCCACTCCTCCAATAGCTGGTGTGTGGTGAGCGCACTGGTGCCGTTGTCCTGTGACTGTCGTCACATCATCCAAGTGGGTGCTGCTGGTGCTGATGTAGAGAGACCCCCCCCCCCCCCCCACCATGATTGTAAAGAGCTTTGGGTGTATGGCCATACACAATAAATGCGCTATATAAATACACATTACATTACATTGCTATCAGGCTGTCGTCGGGACCTGTTCTCTTAGTTTCTCTCTCTCTCTCTCTCCCTCCCCCTGTCTCTCCTCTCTCTGGTATCTTTAATAATTTTTACATTATCAAATGCTTCTATTTTTTCATATTTTATCATTTTAGACAGTTATTTTGTAATTAATTTGGTTGTAACCATAGAGTATTATTGCCATTTAATCATCTCATTATCACGTATTTGTGAATTACTAATGATTTAACATCAACACTAATTAATTACTCTATATTTCAATACAATATAATCACATAATAGCAACGCTCTTCCACATTTATAGCTATTAATACTGCCCTTATTTCCGTTTTTGGTATGAGATTGCAGGAGAATGGTTCAACTAGAAATGTATAGTTTTTCACCGTCATGCTGACAACTTAGTCATTCCTCAAAACAACAGTTTGCTGTAGTTAAAATATTATTCTTTACATAGATGAAGATCTATACAAAGTTTGAATGCTCAGTTCAACATGATCTTGTTGTAATGGCTTGGCAGGAAATGTTGAAGACTGATGACTCAAAGTGGCACAGGAACTGAACTTGTCTAAATGAATCACCAACCCTGTTCTCTTCCTCACAGCAGACTCTCACCAAAGCATTATGGGAAATATATATTTTAAAGGCTGAGCAGAATGATTTGAAGGCACTTCAAGCTCTTTGTTATTTTAATTGACCCAACATTCATACATATAATTTTTAGGTGAACTATCCCTTTAATTGGAGCAATAATATGTCATCATTAACCTGACCTTCACTTGTTTAAAAAAAACATTTTAAAACTGACATCTAGTTTATTAATCAAACTCGTTATTATATCTTCTGTGTTTTAAGGCATATTGAGTGGCTCTCAACAACATCTGTGATATTAAATAAACAGTGACATTTCTTTTTGGAACCTATTATTAAATGACCATGAAAGACTGCACATATGTTTTATTTTAATGTTTAACTTTCATGTGCGAGCCAGTGTATAATAAAATACAAACTATGCATCTAGTTTACGGACACCTACAAACACCTTTTTTAAAGAAACATGTTTTGTTTGGTGGTGCTCTAGATTTGCTGGTTTCTAACTGATGAATTGGTGCAAACATGCATTTATAATGGTATGAACCACTATAGGGGTGGGCAAATGTATATTGAAGTTATGTATTATTTTATTTATTAACTTTATCTAAGATACAGATCAGAGCAAAGTATTTCTCAACCATTAAAGGGCAGCCGCTCATATATCTTGTTTTTATTTTCTTCAGGGGGATAAAGTGTTAAATGGGGGGGTCAGACCCCCTCAAACCCGCACTTTGTCTATTGACTTCAATAAAAAATCAAATCAAATCTGTTTTATTGTCACATCATCAGCAGCACGTGTGCTATGACGTGTGAAAAGCTTTGGTGCTGGCTTCAGACAGCGCAAATACAACGACAGTGCAAAATACAGATGATGCAAAATACAGACGGTGCAAAATACAACAACAATGTGAAATTGACAGCGATATGTACAATAAATAGGTGTCGTGTCCACAAAGTTTTAGGCAGTATTGTTTCAAGTATGGATTGGTTAAAGTGCTGTGCATGCTACATATTGATGTTGTGCAGTGAGGGGTATGAAAGAGTCTGTCTGTGTGGTGTGTTAAGGATTCATCATCCTGATAGTCTGAGGGAAGAAGCTTTCCTTCAGCCGGCTGGTGCGTGACCGGATGCTGCAGAACCGTCTGCCTGATGGTAGCAGAGAGAAAAGTCTATGGCTTGGGTGGCTGGAGTCGCTGATAACTCTCTTGGCTTTCCTCATGCACCGATTGGTGTAGATGTCCTGGAGGGAGGGTTGCTCACCTCCTACTACGCGTCCAGTAGTTTGCACAATCCTATGTAGGCCTTTGCGATTGCTGCTGGTGCTATTCCCATACCAGGTGGTGATACAGCCAGACAGGATGCTCTCCACAGTGCAGGTGTAGAATGAGAGGAGGATGTGGGGGCTCATTCCAAACCTCCTGAGACGGCGGAGGAAGAAGAGGCGTTGTTGTGCCTTCCTTAGCACTGCGTCTGTGTGAGCAGTCCATGTCAGATCCTCAGCGATGTGGACTCCAAGAAACTTGAAAGTGCTGACTCTCTCCACTGGCGTCCTGTTGATGGTGATGGGGGTGTGTTCTCTCTTCTCTCTCCTGAAATCCACCACCAGCTCCTTGGTTTTGCTGATGTTTAGTTTTCCTCACACCCCTCCGTCAGAGTGTGCACCTCCTCTCTGTAGGCCTTCTCATCATTACCGGTGATTAGGCCCAACACCGTGTGTCATCAGCAAATTTAGCGATGACGTTGGAGCTGTGTTTGGCTGTACAGTTGTGTATACAGGGAGTACAGGAGAACACAGCCCTGTGGAGCACCAGTGTTGAGGATCAGTGTTGATGATGTAATGTTGTTCATTCTGACCACCTGGGGTCTGCCTGACAGGAAGTCCAGGATCCAGTTGCACAATGAGCTGTGAAGACCGAGAGCCTGGAGCTTCACCACCAGCTTGGCAGGCACTATGGTGTTGAATGCTGAGCTGTAGTCCACAAACAGCATTCTCACATATGTGTTTTTGTTTTCCAGGTGAGACAGAACAGTGTGCAAGGTGAAAGCAATTGCATCATCAGTGGAGCGGTTATTCCTGTATGCAAATTGCAGAGGGTCTGTGTGAGCGGGCAGTACAGAGCAGATGTGCTTTTAAATCAATGGATACCATCAACCAGCATTCTTCAAAATATATTCTTTTGTGTTCAACAGAAAAAAGACACTTATAAAGTTTTAAATACACATGAGGATGAGTAAATTGTGAGGTAATTCTCAGTTCTGGGTGAACTATCCCTTTAATTTACAAATCTTGTGTGCGTGGCGAATGACATTTAGTCATTTAGCAGAATGTCCAAGGCAATTTTGCGTGTCCAAAGCGACTTATAAGGAAATCATCTATAAAAGTATCAATAAAATGTCATTGTTTCTCTGTCTGCTGTGTTTGATGGTCTTTGTCGTGTTTTCAGATTTGTCCGTGGAGAGAAGGAGACTGTAAGAACGCCTCAGTGATTTTCTTGAACACTCCGGCTCAGCAGGTCCAGATGCTCTAACAGAGGACTGAAAACAACGAACTCAAGGACACTGTGATGATGAAGGAAACTGATGGACACTTTCATTTTTAAAGTCTCATTAAGAAATCTTTTAGCGGCCTGAAGACTGGAGAAACTGGAGGTTGGGGTATACTTTCAGAATTAAAGGTACAAAATCTGTCACTGGGCTGGTACCTTTTCAAAACATACACTTGTATACTATTATAAGTTGACATTTGTATCTTTAGGTTACATTTAAGGTTTACTTTTGTATGTTTAAGTTACAATGAGGTACACATTTGCACTTTTTAGGAATTAATATATCTTTAAAGGGGACCTATTATGCCCCTTTTTACAAGATAAGTCTCTGATGTCCCTAAGGTGTCTGTAAAGTTTTAGTTTAAAATACCATACATATAAATAATGGTTTATAACTCTTTTTTTTATAACTGCCCCTTTTAAGCTTTGATCTTAATTGTGCCATTTTGTTGATTGTTGCCTTTAAATTCAAATAAAATTGTACTCTTTTTCAAAAGAGGGTGGAGCTACAGATGCATGTGTCAGCATAGTGGCAGATTCTAAAAGATGACTAACTTCCTATGCTAATAAGAAAGTGATCATTACTAATGGGTGGGGCTTTCCCTTCTCTGATGACACGTACATAGGATGATACATAAAAATACCCCCCTTTTGTCCCACTGCAGCAGTTCTGCCAGTGTGAAATGACAACTAGAGAGGGAAACATTGCTACTACCTAGAAATCTAATATAGGAATGCTTTCGTGTCAAATATACTGGATGTAATGTACAGTAAATAATAAATGTATACTTGTAAATGAATCATTTTTATTTGAAATCATTTTAGACCTTCAAAAACGCACATTATTAGTATTTTTCTTTAATTTGTCATTTGTGATGCTGGACCTCAAAACCAGTGGATAAGTGGCCACTTATCGCTGAGGGGGGTTGGGGGTTTGTGATTGGTAAGTAAAGAGTGGCGGGAAAGGCCTAAATTGTTTTAATGATTATAAAGATTTTTATAACCTTTCAAGATTTTTTTTTAAATCAAACTTTGATGCATCACTTGCTTTTGTTCATATCTTGGACAGTTTAACCTATTAAAGTTTATTAAAATATTAATGAAAAGAGACAGCGGTTGTTCTACAAATATATTATTTATTTTTTATGGCAAGAAAAAAGCAGAAACAGTACACAAAATACAGATTTTTTTTATTTATTTTTTTTTATTTAGCAGCTCCCCAACTGACACGTCTGGTTAGTTTCTGTCCTTATATTCTATAAAGTCAATAATGGTCCAAAATTCCTGACCATTATCACCAATAAAGCATGGCATCCATATGTTGTAAACCGATAGGTCCAAATATTTCTTTTTCATTTATCAAAGAAATAATTTGCTTCTTAATTATAGTTTTATAACTATTAAATTGTTTTAAATTCAAAATAAACTGTTGCAATTCCTATCCAAGAATTATTGTCCATCTGATTATCCCTATGATCACGCATGGATGGATCATAAAGATAAGAGACAAAATCTCTTCAAAGTGATTCATATTAAACTTGAATGAAACATATCATCGCTCGAGTCTTTTTTGCTGCACAAACTAGCAAACGTGTCGAGTATAACCTAGGCTTCATCAGGGGGTTGTGATCAGTAAGCGAAGAGTGGTGGGTGGGAGTGGGGTTGGGCAGACCAAGTTCACGATTGACTGTCAGGTCACGGGGTCCCGGTGCTCCCTATGGCCAGTCTGCCCCTGGATGCAACATTATTATTGGGCCGAGATGCAAGATAGCATTTGAATATCTGGGAATTGAGAGTTAAAAAAATATATTGCATGTAAAGCTCTCTAAATAAATACTTTGCAATGTCATTACTGATCAAAAATGAAGACATTTTGAAAATTTACCACTTTAAATTTTCTTCATGGATATGGATCTTTACTTAAAGTCCTCATAAACCTTAAGCTGCAACTATTATTTTCTCTCTCGTATTATATTATAGTAAGGAAGGCATTTCATTTAGAAAGATCAAGAAAAGGGTTTGGGGAGAGTTATTAAAACCTAACAGACTCCTCCTGTTCACCATTTCTGTTCGTTGTCAAAACTGACAGCTTGAGGGGCATGGTTAAGTATATTAGCCAGACTTAGACTGACCTAATCTGCCAATTTAACTGAAAACAAACAGAAAGTGCATTTTCATATCTCAGTTAAACCTTACCAAAAACATATTTTTAATGACACAGATTAATTGTTTTCCACAAAACTAGCAATGTGAGCTAACAAAGTAAATATAGTGAGTTTTGATTTCATGTTTACTTTAATATTAATGTCTTTTTACGACTGCCGAAATATGCCAGTGAAGGCTATCATATGAGACATAGCATGTTTTGTTGTCACATTTTTGTAGCATGCTCATTTGTTGTTATACTTGTTTATTTTCATCACAAGCAACCGAAAAAAGCACTGATGTAGGAAGTGAAAGAGGCTGTAGAAGTGAAGCTAACACTATGAGGCCAGCAGGTCGTATTGTTTTGTAGAGCTGCCAGAAGAAGGATGAAGATGACGAAAGAAGAAACATCGCAGTCTTTTAACAAACGGTCTGTCAGTTTTAAGAAGATCCTCGTGTTCTTAATTTGGCTCACCACAGGCAAGTGTTCCCTGTTTGTTTATAAACGCATTTAGGTGTTAAAAGTGATTAAAATGAATACAAATATTGAGAAAATAGTGGCTTATCGCTGGGTGTAAAATATAGCAGTTTGCCATTTTTTATTTATATAAACATTTATATAAATGTAATTCATTTAAACTTCACACCCTGATTTAAAATGTCAAATGGTATAAAGAGTAAGTAATAATTAAAAAGATAACAATATATAAGTGTAGTGTGTGTGTGTGTGTGTTATATGATATCCTCATATAAGTTGATTTCTTCATTTAGGCTCTGAGTACAAAACTGCGTCAGCAAGCAGGGCGTTAACAGTTCAGACTGGAGGATCTCTTGTTATTCCCTGTTATTATGACAGATATTACACAGAGTACAAGAAATACTGGTGCTTTAATGCCAAGGGATATTTTAATTCCTGCTCTATTCTGGCGTATACTAATGAAACCAAAGGAAAAGTGTCACTGACTGATCATCCAGATCAGAGTTTCTTCACTGTTACTATGAGGAACCTGCAGCATGAAGACACTGGAGCTTACTGGTGTGCTGTGGAGATTGAAGGATTCTTTAAACTGGATAAGAGAGAGCAGCTTCATCTCACAGTTCAGTCAGGTATAAGACCAGATTCACATTTAAATAGAAAATTATTTTTATTCCAGGTGAATCACAGTCTCTGATGTCTGCTGTCTGTGTGTTTCAGCTCCTGAAGTGTCTGTGATGAACAGCAGTGTATCTGGACATGAAAGTGGTGATGTCAGTGTTCAGTGTTTCTACAGTTCTGAATACAGGAATACAGAGAAACGCTGGTGCAGATATAAAGATCAGATCTGTTATGCAGTGGAGAGATTCAACACATCCCACAATGCATCAGTGCAGATCAGGGATGATGGTGAAAGCTCCTTCACTGTGCTGATGACTGGACTGAGACTCTCTGATTCTGGATGGTATTCCTGTTGTGTAGGAGGAAAGGAGGCTTTAGTTCAGCTCACAGTCACTGAAGGTAAAACTCATTCACTAATCGCATCTACACTGGCTTTCCTGTCTGAGAAAGTAAAACCGTTCTGCATCTTTACTGTACAGCCTCTTCAGAAAATCAACAAGTCCTTAAATTCACCATATCTCAAGCAAAAACAGGTAGGACAGATTTTTAATGGAGGCTATATCAAAATCATAGTCAATTTGATCAATTATTTTATTTATTTATTTTTTTTTTTACAGCTGAAAGCACCTCAGAAGGACTTGAAAAAAATGGGTTTGTAGCAAAATTAAATATTAATCAATATTATGTATTACTTGCTTTGGCTTTACTAAACACTTGTATTTAGATGCATTTACACTATATTGCTAACATTTTGGGACACCCCTCCAATTTACCGAATTCCAGTGTTTAGCTCACTTTCATAGCCACAGGTCAATTAAATCAAGCACCTGGGCATGCTGACTGCTGTTACAAACATTTGTGAAATAATGGGGCACTCTCATGGGTTCAGTGAATTCGCATTTGGTACTGTGATTGGTTGCCTCCTGTGCATTTAGTCCATTCATGAAATTTCCTCACTACTATATATAATAATATATATTATTGTAACAAAGTGTAAGCAATTGGGAACAAAAAGCAATTTTGCCCTAAAGTGGTACTGAGTAAAATCACAGAGCAGGGGTCAGTGTATGCTGATATAACCCTGTCGGTCCTGCATTGGTGATTCTTTGCACAGGAGTCGGTTGCTCTAACAAGTAGGCTAAAGACCATGGCCTCTAGTGTTTGTCCCTAGGGCAGCTTTAAAGTTCAGAGGAGTGAGGTTTACCTGCACAGCACTTCACTAGCTGGTCTCTGCTACAGATACGCAGAAGTCAACTTTCTGCAGAGACAACATCTGCAAACTTTATGGCCTTCAGATTTGCTTATGTACAGTGATTGCAGAGCTTCAGGAATGGGATTCTATGGCCAAGCAGCTGCAGCCAAGCTTTACATCACTAAGTACAATGCAGAGCCTGCCTTAGTGGTGTAAAAAACACAAACGCTGACTCTAGAACAGTGGGGTTGAGTTTTCTAGAATGACCAATCATTCTTTTCTATTTGGCAATCTGATAGGAATCTGAGTTTGGCAGTTGCCAGGAGAAAAGTACTTACTGGCTGCATTGTGCCAAGTGTACAGTTAAATTGAGGGTAGATTATGGTGTTGGCTTGTTTTTCAGGGTTTGGGTTTGGACCCTGAGGCCCCTTTTACACTAATACGTTTTAGTTTAAAAACACATACGTTTTGCTATGATTACGCCATCCGTCCACACTACGGCAGAGTTTTTGATCACCAAAAACTGATCTTTTTGAAAATTCTAGAGAGGCCGTTTTCATTTGAAAACACTGCTGCGCCATGGCAGTGTGGATGGGGGAAAATGGAGACATCTAAAAAGCGGGGCTCATTGGGACTTTTTCCTCAATATTAAGTATTCGACACAAAATTCAGTCTTGCATCTTTTCCTTGACTTGGCAAGTTTTATATGGAAAACAAACTCCTGGGGACACTTCGGGTAAATCTTCAAAGGGAACAGTGTACTTTATAACCTCATTTACATCACCCTGGATAAGTTGTTTTTCTAACAATAACATTAAAACATGATATAAGGAACTGCCTATTTTTATTTTGATATTAGGAGCTAAACAGACACCAAAAAATGTTGAGGCGTTGTGTAGCTACATGTTTATTTGACCGTCATCTTCATTGTATGCATTATAACACAACGGAGCCTGTAACATTGCTCCCTCTTTTCAATTTCATTGAAAATGCGAAATACCCTGTCACTTTTGCTGAATATCAGTTTTAATAATCAATAATGGTCATTCTAAAAGTTTAACATACAATAAGTTTATACATTATAGGAAATAAATGCAAGCAATCAGTCAAATGTGCGGAATCAGTGTATAAGGTTACATGAATTAATATATTAACTTTTTTTGCGCTCAGTCAAAACACGTTATTTGAGAACAAGTAATAGATTCAAAAGACCAAAGTCAGGGATTATGTCATTAGATATAGACAACAAGATGATTGAAATATCTCGTTTAGCATATATAGTAAGATTAGATCCAGCTGTCGATCCTTGATGAACAGTCCGACGTGCACTTCTCTCATCTAAGTAGATGTGCTCAAAGCACCTGCTGACTGCCTGGAGCTTAGACGCGCGCACATGCCAGAGTGTGTGTGTGGTCACGCAATGTGCATTTTTAGCAGTGTAGTGTGAACGGAGAGTTGTTCAGAAACGCTAAGTGAATAACCAGTGTGAACGCAGATTGTTTTCATCCTAGAACACAAAACTAAAACGTATTAGTCTAAACTGGGCCTGAGTAAAAGTGAAAGGAGTTTTTAATGTTTAAGCATACCAAAACATTTTGGACAATTGCACACTTCCAGCTGTGTATGGACAGTTTGTGGATGACTCTACTTGTTCCCACATGCCTGCATACCATTGGTCAAAGCAAGGTCCATTAAGACATTGATGAAGAGTTTGGTGTGGAGGAATTGGACTGGCCTGCATAGAGTCCTGACCTCAACCTGAAGAAACACCTTTGGGATGAACAAGAGCGGAGACTTTGAGACAGATGCACTTGTTTGAAATCAGTGCCTGACCTGACAAATGCACCTCTGCTGCAGGAGAATGATCAGAATCATTATAAACACACCTATAATTCCTATAAACACACTCGTAAAAACTTTTTCAGAATCGGTTTTATTGCCAAGTGTGCCTATACACACACAAGGAATTTGTTTTGGTTACAGAAGCTTCCAGTGTACATAAAGTGACAACACGGAAATAAATATGAGAGAAGACGACAAACATTAAACTGATGTGATAAGTCAAAAAGTGCTGGATGTTGAGTTGTATGTACAAATGTGTTAAAAATGTACAAGTTATAAGGTGCTGTGTACAAATGCGTATGGAGAAAGTATTGCATTGTATATTGTTATAAGGTGCTGTGTACAAGTGCATATGAGAAAGTATAGCACATGTTTATTGCACAGTAGGGGAATATTTACCGTTCATAAGGTAGATGACCTGAGGAAAGAAACTTTTCCTGTATCTGGCTGTTTTTGTGCTTGGTGCTCTGTAGCACCGACCAGACTGTGACAGTTCAAACAAGAATTGTGCTGGGTGAGAGGCATCCAGAGTGATTTTGTGAGCCCTTTTACTCACTTTGGAAGAGTTCAGTTCTTGAAGTGTAGGAAGGGTAGTGCCAGTGATTCGTTTAGCAGTCTGGACTATTTGCTGTAGCCTGTGGAGGTCGATTTTGGTAGCTGAGCCGAACCAGACGGTGATTGAAGTAGCTTTCAGTAGCTTTTGAACATCTTTCTGGAAGAACTGATGCTGTTAAAGGGCCATGAAACCCCCTCGTTTCAGCAAGGTATTTTCACACCTCTACTTTGGAAAAAGTCAGAAAAGTGGGCGTGTCCAGCTCTGTTTAGGGGGGAGTGTCGGAGGAACTAAAGTGGGATGGTGTGGGAGTGTCTATTTGGGCACGCGCGAGTTTCAGTCAAAATACACACAGGAGAAAGTGATGGTGTTTAACCTACATGGACATCTGTAGTCGAATTATTTGCCAAAATTATTAAATGTTGGACTTTAACTGCAAGTTGGGTTTTTCATTCAGGGAATTCATTCATGTCCCTCGCGACAAACGAGATATTTGATTCAAGGAACTGCTCTAAGCGTGTATTTTTCATGCAATGCTTGATACCGCACGGCGAATATGAGAAAAAAAAACCTCCGCATTTTCCGGAAACTTAGATGCACACGGCAGGTAGCGGCAGAAAGTCGCGCGGTCACAAAATGCGGTGCTAACATGTTTGCACTCAGTGCAATAGTTAACTTAATTCGATACGAACAAACTGAATAAACAAAGAGCACTGGTCGCTCACTTACCAAATCTGTAGAGACAGGACAATCACCAGCAACTAGAGCCGCGTCTTTATGAAGAGAATACTACAAGCGAATCCGGATCTCAGCGTTTGCAGATGAGAACAGCTCTCAGGTAAACAATAATCCTCCTTAGACACGTAAGTTATTGTTGTCGAGCGTCGCGTACACTGTTAATCCACACGTGATCCAGATGAGCTCTCACAGAGAGAAAATGAAAACGAAACTTAACTGCAGCAAACTATAAAAGCAACACTTCACGCTTGTTTTGCCAACACAACGTAGCGTCTCTGTCATCTAAACACTGTGACAGTAATGAATATTAATGAAGTTGCACAATAGAGCATGCTGATTGGTTTGAACCAAGCCTTACTCATGCATTAATGCATCACACTGTAAGACGTAATAAGACACACTCTGGCACAGACGTCCAGTCTGCACGCTGGAATACAACGCTATTATGTCATGACCATGACGCAGCTTCAAAAATTTGTTTTAGTGTTATGTGACCCTTTAAAGCTGCAATGGGTCACCCAACTCCGTAATAAACTCTTCCAATTAAGATTGTCATTAAAGATGTCCCTAAACTATTGGTGAAATAGTGTATATTTTATTATATATTTGTTGTTTTATTTATTGTTGTACATAAAATAATTTTATTCCTAACTAACTGTTGTTTCTCACAGGCATTATGGGTATCTGGAGGTGTGGCTTCCAGCCTTTCTGCTGCTGTTGCTGATTGCACTTGTGATGTCATCAGTAATATGGAGAAAGAAACATGGTCAGTATTAATGATTTAATATCATTTGACAGATTTTTAAAAAATGCATGAATAAGCCTGGGGGTGTCATAGCTTTTAAGAAAACATTATGTATGTGTATATATAGTGTGGCAGGATTCATCAGTCATTGCATTTAGAAGTTGATATCTAACTGTCTAAAAGAAGAACTGATAACATCATTTGTTTTCTCACTAGCAGACAGAAATGTCACACTCGGTGTAGACGCAAACAAAGAGGAAGCCTGTGAGACGGTAAGTCTGAAATACTGTTCAATTAAAGCTGAGAGACAGAGAAAGTGTTAAGATGTGTTTTATTTATTATTTATATATAAAATGTTGATCAGTGTTCAGAAACTGCACGGAATGATGTGAGCTACAGCTCTGTCACAGTTATACCTACAACTGAAGCGGTGAGTGAAATCAGCAGAATATCTCATTTAACAGCATGATCAGAAACATGAATGTAATGTTTGTTATATGTATAATATTCCTTTTCTTTCTCTTCAGAGAAATGATTTGACCTACAGCCCTGTCACAGTTAAGACTAAAACTGAAGCAGTGAGTGAAATCAGCAGAATACAATGATCAGAAACATGAATGTGATTGATTGTATTTTTCTTAATATTCATTTACTTTCTCTCCAGAGAAATGAAGTGATTTACAGCTCAGTCACAGTTAAGCCCAAAATTAAAGTAAGTGAAATCATAAAAACAGGCTTAAAAGAGGATTTCTCATTTGTTCTACACATGCAGAAACATTAACGTCTTGTTTGTGGTGTTCTTAATATATTTCTTTATTTTTCTCCAGTTCAGTCCAGTATTAGCAGAGGATCAGGTGATCTACAGTTCTGTGCACAAATAGAAGAGAAGTTACAGGTTTGCTGAAGTCAATAATGACAGGATGATTTACACAAACGCTGAACACGGAACTTGTTTTTATCTCATTCTTTTATTTCTTCATCACAGGTGCTTGAATACCTTAGGAAAAAAAATTGGACAGCACTGAAGTTAAACAAATATAATAGTTTTGATTGCCACAAACAATCTTGAATGATATTAAAATCAACAAATTAAATTCATAATTCTTTTTGTGTGATATTCTTGTATTTTGCATTATAGTTTCTTCAGAAGTGTACAAAGGAAGCTGTTTACTCTGTAAATAAACTTCTGTTTTAACATTTGACTGGAAAAAGTATGTTAATTGTTGACTGCAAAATGTGTAAAACAGTAGTAATGTGCTTGTTTTTATGTGTAACAATACATTTTGAAAATCTCTGGCAAAAATATATAATATTTTTGGGTCTTAAACGTTTGCAAATGTTTCATTCATTAATCTTCCTTCTGCTTAGTCCCTAATTTATTAGGGGTCGCCACAACGGAATGAACCACCAACTATTCCAGCACGTTTAATGCAGCGGATGCCTTTCCAGCCACAACCCAGTACTGAAAAACACCCATATTCTCTCACAATCACTCGCACACTCATATGACCAATTTTGTTTACCCAATGTTTACTCAATATAGAGCATGTGTTTGGACTGTAGGGTAAACTGGAGCACCCGGAGGAAACCCACGCCAACACGGGGAGACTCCACACAGAAATGCCAACTGGCCCTGGGGCTCGAACAGTAACAGTGCTAACCACTGAGTCACCGTGCTGCCCTACAAATGTTTTTATCCTAATAATAAAAATAGTCCCTTTACGTTTTGATACAAAATGTATCATTTCATGACCAAACAATAGGAAGAAAAGTTTTGTTTTGTTATGCGAATTTCAAATGATTCTGAAACACATGGATTTGAATCAGGGTTCTGTATGAATCAATTGAATGATTGAATCATTTACCAATTCATAAAGTCATCAGTCATGGGTTTAAGGTTCAGGTTTTGAATTACACAAAGTATGTTGACCCAGGACATAAAGGCCCAATCCCAATTCTATTTTTGTACCGTGCCCATATTCATTTATGTAAACGCACACCAAACAACATTAACATTATACCAGACACTGTAAAATGATCATTTCCAGCCATACCTGCCAAAACTTCTGTTTTTCCTGGGAGTCTCCCTTATTTCAGACCCATCTCCTGCCATCCTCCCATTTTGTTATTTTTCCCGGAAAACTTCCTTAATGTCAACCTTTCCCCCCGGTCCTTTTGCATTTTGTTACAGTCTGTGAAACCCCCCGGGTCGCTAACGTTGGTATAGGATCTGATCGCAGCGGCTGCCCGAAACATGCTTCATAATACAGTCACTAAGACTACAGAACACAGTACCCGGTTCTCAACAGTGTTATTCAGACACCTCACCCCCAAACCTAACCCCCCCCCCACCCACCCTCCGGTCTCCTAGATTTTCAGGGACAAATGTTGGCAGGTATGTTTCCAGCCACTAGACTTTTTGACAGGGTATTCAAGTTTCCTCGAGTGTCAGAATGTTGTGGGACTGCTACACAGGAGTTATGATTATGGATTAACAACAGCACCTCATAAACCTGATTTCAGACCAACTGTGACAGCAAAAAAATGTAATTGTGTATAAAACAAAATTGAAAGAGCTTTGATTATAGCTGAGGAGATATTTGCTTACTACAGTACTAACGTATCGCTAGAAATGCCATAAGGTGGAAAATGTTGGTCAGAATCTTGCAGTTACACACAAAATTCGATTTTGGCCTCTAACGATTATGAAAAACCATTAATCGAAATAAACAATTATTTGCATCATATACCTACCGCCCCTAAATTTATTCTGGTGCTCCTAAATATTTAAAGCTGGGTACGGGTGCTACCAAGTAAAAAAGTTCATTTCGAGCCCTGACACAGAATCTATCGGCACAATTCAGCGTGGTTGTCTAACTGTGTCAAGAATTCTGGTCTGAGAACGATTTGTAATCGTGCCGCACCGCTCCAGGCTGTTTCCAGTGGAGAAACAGCCGTACCGAACTGTTCTTAGAAGAGCGACTAGACATTGATGACATATATGACATTGATTAAAAACTATGGACAAAGGCCCATTGTGACACTTTGATTTACTTAAATCAAGATTACTTAGTATTTTAATTTATTTAAAAGATCCCTCTGCTTTACTTAAATGTATATGTTATCTGCAATATGCTATTTCATTTGGAAAGATATTTCATTTACGCTACTACTGTTGCAAGTCGTGCTGATATAAATTTTTTTGAAGGTTTTAAAAAAGGTAGTAAAAGTTATTAAATTTAACTTAAGAGGTTCTGTATATACCCTGATTTGACTGAATCAACCTAACTAAAAAAAATCAACCTAAATGTTGATAAAGCAGAGATTAAGGTCACGTAATGCAGTTTCAAAGAATTAATAAATAAATGACCATCAATCGTGACACAGACTCCAGTTGCAGTAGGAGATCCGGGAAACGCTAACTTTAGACTGAGAGCTTAGAAAATGCATGTCTCATTTTGATGTTAATACACCTCTTTATGTAAGCCTGTGTTCATGAATATAAAAATACAAATAAATACATGTAGACCATTTATTTTAATCATCACAACAAAAACGTTTCTGAAGACAATCAGCTATTGCAGTTTTAATTAAAAGACATGTTTTAAGAGTGTGTACACGACATATAAACCGACTTTAAGGCTTACAAACTGAGTAGTGATGATTATTAAAACTGCTTCCTCTCAATATTAGTGTGAAGTTGGCATATTTGAATTGATAAGAGCTCAAAATGTGCAGAGAAGAGACATTTTCACAGCTCTTTCACAAACAGATCGTCTCCATCATGCAGTTCCTTTGGATTTTTCTTTGGCTCCCATTAGGCAAGTGTTCAGTCTTTTTATTTTGTTAATGCTTACTGATATGATTCGAAAATGTTTATACTTTACAGATTGGCATAGACATGCATATCATCATGAGTATGCTCTTGTCATGTGCTTTGATAAGTAAAACCAAATCTCAATGACTCTGTATTGTGTTAGATCACAGCCTCCGTGCCAGATAAACCAGAACTAGACACCAGATCCTGTCAGAAATGTTCACTTGTGTGTGGTATTAAACACAACCGGTTGTCTAATACACAATTTGTTTGTCATCCAGGCTCTGAGTGGCAAACAGTATCAGCAAGCAGAGCATTAACAGTTCAGACTGGAGGATCTGTTGTTATTCCCTGTTATTATGACAGAAATTATACAGAACAGAAGAAATTCTGGTGCTCAGATACCAAGGCTGCATTCCCTTTCTGCTCTATTCTGGCGTATGCTAATGAAACCAAGGAAAAGTGTCAGTGACTCATCATCCAGATTAGAGTTTCTTTACTGTGACTATAAGAAACCTGCTGGAAGAAGACACTGGAGCTTACTGGTGTATTGTAGTGAATGAAGAAAAACTGGATGAGAAAGAGCAGCTTCATCTCACATTTTATTCAGGTATGAGACCAGATTAACATTCAAATACTAAATAGTTTTCGTTCCACTTAAATCACATTCTCTAATGTTTGCTGTCTGTGTGTTTTAGCTCCTGATGTGTTTGTGTTGAGCAGCAGTTTATGCGGACATGAAGGTGGTGATGTCAGTGTTCAGTGTTTCTACAGTTCTGGATACAAGAATAAACTCAAAAAGTGGTGCAGATATAAAGATCATATAACGATCTGTTATACAGTGGAGAGATTCAACACATCCCAGAGTTCATCAGTGATGATGGTAAAAGCTCCTTCACTGTGCTGATGACTGAACTGACACTCTCTGATTCTGAATGGTTTTTCTGCTCTGCTGGAGATCTGCAGGTTCCTGTTCAGCTCACAGTCACTAAAGGTAAAACTCACTCACTTATCACATCCACACAAAGTTGGTTCTTCTGCTTGGAAAAAAAATATTCCAGAAAATCCACAAATTCATGTTATGAGTGTAACAAAACCAGGTAATACAGACTTTTACTGTAAGTTATGGCAAAGCCACTTGCACTTTTGTCTGTCTGTAGACCATATATAAAATTAATAAACTCTTATTTTATTTATCCTTCTCTCTGACAGCAGTTGTCACCACAGCGGAATCTGAGGGAAACGGGTTAGTAACCTATCATTTGTATTAATCTAGATGTTCTGGCATGAACTTGATGGCAGATGCTTGTTTATTTGCCATATAATAAAGTTAAATTGATTGTTTCTTAACATTTATACTTACATTTACATTTAGTCATTTAGCAGACGCTTTTATCCAAAGCGACTTACAAATGAGGACAAGGAAGCAACTTACACAACTAAGAGCAACAATGAATAAGTGCTATAGGCAAGTTTCAGGTCTGTAAAGCCTAAGAAGGAAAGTATTAGTACTTTTTTTTTTTTTTTTGGGGTACAGTTAGTGTGATATCCAGAGAGGCAATTGCAGATTAGGAAGTAAAGTGGAGACTAAATAGTTGAGTTTTTAGTCGTTTCTTGAAAATAGCGAGTGACTCTGCTGTTCTGATGCAGTTAGGGAGTTCATTCCACCAACTGGGCAGATTGAACGCGAGCGTTCGCGAAAGTGATTTCTTCCCTCTTTGGTATGGAACCACGAGGTGACGTTCATTCACAGAACGAAAGTTTCTGGAGGGCACATAGATCTGCAGAAGTGAGAGCAGATAATAAGGAGCAAGGCCAGAAGTCACTTTGTAAGCAAACATCAGAGCTTTGAATTTGATGCGAGCAGCAACTGGCAGCCAGTGCAAACGGACTAGCAGCGGAGTGACATGTGCTCGTTTAGGTTCATTGAAGACAACTCGTGCTGCTGCATTCTGGAGCAGTTGAAGAGGCTTGATAGAGTTAGCTGGAAGCCCAGCTAGTAGAGAGTTGCAGTAATCCAGTTTGGAGAGAACAAGAGCTTGAACAAGGAGTTGAGCTGCATGTTCAGATAAGAAGGGTCGGATCTTTCTGATGTTATAGAGTGCGAATCTGCACGATCGAGCAGTTCTAGAAATGTAGTCAGAGAAGTTTAGTTGGTCATCAATCGTTACTCCAAGGCTTTTCACCCTTTTGGATGCAGTAATGGTTGCCCCATCCATCTGGATTGAAAAGTTATGGTGTAGAGTCGGGTTGGCAGAAACTACAAGCATTTCCGTTTTCGCAAGGTTAAGCTGAAGATGATGATCTTTCATCCAGTGTGAAATGTCCAACAGGCAGGCTGAGATGCGAGCTGGAACCGAGGGATCATCAGGATGAAAAGAGAGGTATAGCTGGGTATCATCAGCATAGCAGTGGTAGGAGAATCCATGTCTCTGGATGACTGGTCCTAGAGATGACGTGTAGATGGAGAAGAGAAGTGGCCCAAGAACAGAGCCTTGAGGTACCCCAGTGTTTAGATGCTGTAGGTTGGACACCTCTCCCCTCCAAGACACCCTGAATGACCTGTCAGAGAGGTAAGATCTGAACCATTGAATAACAGTGCCCGCAATGCCTAGTGACTCGAGCGTAGATAGCAGGATCTGGTGGTTGACAGTGTCAAAAGCAGCTGACAAGTCCAGCAAGATAAGGACTGATGATTTTGAGTCTGCTTTAGCCAGTCTGAGATCCTCCACGAACGAGAGCAGGGCAGTCTCAGTTGAGTGGCCTTTCTTAAAGCCGGATTGCTTGTTGTCCATGAAGTTGTTTTGAGTAAGAAAGTCCAGGACTTGATTGAACACTACTTTCTCCAGAATCTTGGCCATGAATGGAAGCAGGGATACTGGTCTGTAGTTTTTAAGTAGCGTATGGTCCAGGTTGGGTTTCTTTAGCAGTGGGGTTACCCTAGCCTGCTTAAATGAAGTGGGGAATAAACCAGAGTCAAGAGATGTGTTAATTATGTGAGTCAGTGTTGGTATGACTGCAGGAGAGATG